TATTTAGCTAATTTAACTTATCTGTAATTTATAATTCAAAATGTGGCTAATTGACGTAAATCACGACTCATTTAATTATGAAAAATATTTGCGACTTCATTTAACCCGACGCATTTAGGAAACTATGGAGCAACTTTAATTCACGTTTTGTGATAAATTTGTTAAAAGAGAATGTAACTAATAGTATATCAAGGTAATAAATTGATAGGCCCTTTTAATATGATAATAACGTTTTCTGAACATTATGTTTTAATATAGCAAAAAGTTAATTAATCATTCAAAGTCAGTGGTAATCATGCAACCGTCTTTCAATGTTTTCTTTAAAAGGGTGTATTAAATACATGCAATGCTGACTAAATATCTTACAGCAGAGCAATAATAAGTACTTGTAAAGTTACTATAATTGTTAGTAAATGGTGCTCCAGTAATTTCATATCCTGACAGGATTTTCATTTTTTGCTTGAAGATTGACAATACATTGTAGTCCCCATCCGGTTTGACGATCTGATTCAAAATGACTGAATGTCAATCATGTTAAACAATCATCATAATCAGGCATCAGCTTGTAGATCTCTGACATGTTTATTGTTAAACTATATTAATATAAACAAAACTATATATCTTAAATTTGATAACTAATGGGGACTGTGTTTCGTGGATGTTCATCCACATGTGTGTTTCCTCATTCATTAATATAACTTGTTGTTTATTCAGTTTTATTCTTTCGTATTCGTAATTTAGTGACATTATTAGACTATATTTTACGGTATCTTTTCGTCCTTATGTTATACAATTCCATGCTATATTAGCTGAGATACAGCAATTGAAAGTAGTTACATGCCTGAAATTTTACCATAATGCATGTAAATATATTTGAAAGAAACACAGATTCGAGTTATATAAGCCATTTAGTAATAACTACTATCAGCACGAATGCAATAGAATTCAGTTGCAAGGTCAAGTTAAAGCTGATATATCAATATTACTATCCAATCATTGTGTTTCCCTCCAATCTTTAATCTAGAGGTGTGAATCCTACTCAACCCTATAAAAGTACACCACATTGTATATTTCTTTAGTTGCATCCTTGTTACATTGTAGTTCCTTTGTTGTAACACTGTACGAATAAATAGTGTATTGTTTACATGTACTTTATGCTGTCTTTATTGTTTGAACCTGATCGGATGTGATCGAATACCATCCACACTGTGCCAGCATGGCCTGTTTACTTATCTCACAGTCGCATCCAAGCCAGCAGCCAGAAAACAGTTCCCTAAAATCCTGATGGAGAGAAACGTATACATACAGGATATTATATTAACGCTACTGTTGAACTAAATGACGCAAATCAATCCAATCAATGATCATAATGAAGACAATGGTCGGCAGTAGCACCCACTTCAAATGTTCAAGGTTTTTTACTCCTTAGTGCTTCTGTGGGTATGTCTGTGTGTGTATTTTGTGTATTTATCTAATTTCGATAAAACTCTATATATAGATGCTCTTGGATAATGCCGAGACCTGATTAGTTGTTGGTAGAGACATGTGCATATTAATTACCTAATTTGCATATTAATTAGCCAATTTTAAACCTTTCCAATCGTTCCTCAAAAACCATTCAACAGATTTCAATGAAACTTAATACATGATGATGTGGGATACTGCACAGACCTGATTAGTTTTGGCTTGCAATCCATGCATATTAATGAACTAATATGCATATTAATTAGCCAAACTTAAATTCTGCACCATTAAACAGAATTTAATGAAATTTGGTACTTATATGTGGTTTGATAATGCAAAGACCAGATTTAAGCTGGAAGTAGCATTAATACGCTCTACAAGACTACACATTGTGGTTGATAAGATATAGTTAGCTGCTTGATTGACAACAAAATGCGCACTCTAGTACTTGTTCTGGAAATCCTAGCTCACAATACATAGTGAATAATGCTTCATCTACAACATCCGTGGAAATTCATTTAAGGGTACGGCCTTTGGGTAAAGATCACATAAATGAACATTGTTAAAATATACTGATGACCATTCAGTGGCTAGTATCATGAGCACGGCATCATCCTTTTAAAATCATACATCTATTAATGGCATTGTACCAAAAGGAACCTTCTTTATTTTTTCCATTGAATATAGTGCATTGACAAATTTCTTCATGAATTGCCAGCCAATAAAACCTTTTACTTACAGTTTCAATGTGTCCAGTTAGTGCGCAAGGAGTGCTATGCAGTGTTATGGGTACTGATTGTGTCAAAATAGTCTCATTACATTATCTGATGAAGATATGAAAGATCCAACACAAATTCTAAAAGAGTTTGGGATAATTTCATGCCACAAAAACATTTATTGTTCGAGCATGTGAAGTTTGGATATGCAAACTAAACTGGACATGAAACTGTCTGAATCATGCAGGTTTGATAATCTAAATGTAAGTTTCATAAGAGACAGACTAGTCATGGGTACAGACAATTACATGCCATGCATGCTGCATAAAAGAGCAAACCATATCAAGAGGCAAGGCGTGAGCCATTTGAGAGACATGACAAAATGTCTAGCGTTTGGGAAAGCTTGCAACAAATGTTTGCAAGGGAAAAAGAAACCTAGTAAGAAGTTTGTACATCACACAGCAGAGTCAAGATGAAGAATCTGACAATTCTGTATTCACATTTCATCATTGAGGTACAGTGAATAGCAAAGTGAACAATACAACATTTATGATTCCTATGACCTTTCATACAGATTATCCTTGCAAAATGTCTGTACAATTAGATTCAGGTGCAAGTCGCAGTGCTATGTCACACTCAGATATATTGGGTATTGTGTAAATCGAAGATGCCGAATCGTTACAAAGATTATATCATGGACAAGGTGCTAGAGACACACTTGGGTATTTTCCCAGTCTGACCAGTATATGGGGTTATAAAGGGCAGGCTTTATCCATGTTAAGCAGAATAGTCAGGTTAGTCATGTTTAACAATTTGGGAAATCATGTTCCTTTATTGTTAGAATGGAGATGTTAGTGTGATACTTTAAGATGACATCATTTTTTTTTGGTCAGAGGTCACTTGATGTAACCCACAATGCTTTACAAACACTTGCAATAAACATGGTGTCCTACCAGGAACGCTTACTGTGCGAGTCCGAGTTATTCATTTAGTTTACAATGCCTATCAGGTAAAACAAAAATAGTCCACGTCAAATCGAATATTGGAGTCAAATTTTGACATGATTGAAAAACAATTCACTTTTCACAGATAGTAGAAATTCCTACCCAAAAGTAGACTTTATGAGTGTATTTCGTACATGTGTAGATTTATTGTGCATACCAGATTTTCGTCACAAAGATCAATGAAGGTAGCCATCTCACCCGTTTTTACATGCATGCACTCTGACATGCATTACAACTTCATAACTGCAAGGGGGTTGGTACTGCTCTTGTGTTTAGAAGCTATTTTTTTTAAATCACTTTTGACCAAAAAAAAAAAAACATTTTTGTGCATATTTAAACTACAGTGTCCATAAAAAAAATACGAACAAAATTTTAAAATTCATGCAAAAAGCTTTCCAAAAATATATAGTTTTGTGGACAAGAGAGGTCATCTTGGTTTCCTAATTAACTAATTAAAATACCTGTCAGGTAAACTGCATCTCTACCTTAAATCCTTTAGTGTCTCATGGGAAGGGGGGTGCATGACACATATGGTTGAAATGATCGTCTCATTTGCATAAATTAATATTCTTGAACAATGAAAAACTCGTCTTTTCAGTAAAATTGTGCTAAAATGCTTTCCGATAGCATACATGATAGTTCTAAATTGACTGATTCTATCGTTACGAGGTAAAAACAATAATCGAAAAAATGATGTAAAGGTGTTTTTTGAGGTACGTTTTCGATCAGACTCCAGCAAATTGTAAGCACAGGTTTTCTCTTTACCATGATCATAGCAAGTTACGAAATTCATGGAGAATGCAGAGGCATGTTAATATTTCTCTCTTGTACTATGTTTTCAGTGACTTTTATCAGTGACAAGTTACCTAATTAGTATGCATTTCGAGAAACCACAGTGTGTGTGTATGCGCAGTTTGAAATGGAATAGTTTTGAACGCAATAAAATCAGTTCAGTCCTGGTCGTGAATTTGTTTAAATATTTCTCGGAATCAGCTCCATATTAACCCAATTCTTCTATTTAGCATATATTTGAGCCAGTAGTACTAGAAGCAGGGTCCCATAATGTAGATGACAATATTATTCCTGTTCCTTTGGCATTAGAGAAGCATTTATCACCATAGTGTACACTAACGGGTAAATCAACATTCACAACCAACACCACAACACCAAGTAAGATCCCTACTGAATTCAATGTGTCCATATGAGACTGGTCGGTAATCAATGATACATTTACAAGCTGGTAAGCTTGGATGTTAAATAATTTTTCTCCCACTCAAATAACAAGTATCTGCTTCATAAATTTGTTTCCCTGATAAAGCAAATTCCATTTCTAAGGAAGTGTAAAAGTAAATCTGCTAGACCGGCTGTGAAATGTCCGTACCTCTAGCTGTATTATAATATAGTATATTTTTCTAGATTATAAATTTAACACAAGTTATATATATCATGAAAACCTTGTGAAAAATGCTATAAATCAGAAGAGCTTTTCTCATACAAGCTTTGGCTAAACTATCTGTATTCTGTCAAGGTTACTGCAAAATATGGACATCATTATTATACTACATGAATATCACACGAAAAACGAGTATGTGTCTATCTACAATGATTTCTTCTAACTTCCTAATACCATAATAATGCCTAATTCCAGTACGCACTGCCATGTGTGTTTTCAGATTGTCTTTCCAGGTAAAACACTTGTCACATTTCTTACATTGATATGGCTGTTCACGAGTGTGTACTCTCATGTGTGATTTCAAGTTGCTTTTCCAGGAAAAACACTTGTCACATTCTTTACAATGATATCGCTGCTCACCAGTATGCACTCTCATGTGTAATTTCAGGTCGCTTTTCAAGGTAAAGCGCTTGTCACATTCCTTGCAATGATATGGCTGCTCACCAGTATGAATTATCATGTGTGTTTTCAGGTTACCTTTCAAAGTAAAACGCTTGTCACATTCTTTACAATGATATGGCTGCTCACCAGTATGAATTCTCATGTGTGCTTTCAGGTAGCTATTCCACGTGAAACACTTGTCACATTTTTTACACTGGTAAGACTGCTCACCGGTATGAACTCTCATGTGTGCTTTCAGACAGCTTTTCCAGGTAAAACACTTGTCACATTCTTTACACTGGTATGGTTGGTCACCAGTATGCATTCTCATGTGTGTTTTCAGGTTGTCTTTCCGGCTAAAACACTTGTCACATTCTTTACACTGGTATGGCCGTTCACCAGTATGCACTTTCATGTGTTTTCTCAGGTTGCTTGCCTCAGAAAATAGCTTGTCACATTGTTTACACTGGTATGGTTGGTCACTAGTATGAATTCTCATGTGTGTTTTCAGGTTGCCTTTCTGGGTAAAATGCTTGTCGCATTCTTTACACTTGTATGGCCGTTCCCCAGTATGCACTCTCATGTGTGCTTTCAGGTTACCTTTCAAGGTAAAACGCTGATCACATTCCTTGCAATGATATGGCTGCTCACCAGTATGAATTCTCATGTGTGCTTTCAGATAGCTATTCCACGTGAAACACGTGTCACATTCTTTACATTGGTATAGTTGCTCACCAGTATGCCCTCTCATTCGTGGTTTCAGGTTGCGTTTATCGGTAAAACAATTGCCACAATCTTTACATTGGTATGGTTGCTTACCTGTATACACTCTCATGTGTGTTTTCAGGTTGCCTTTCCGGGCAAAACACTTGTCAGATTGTGTACACTGGCGTGGTTGCTCGCCTTGCTGTCTCGTGCGTTTCTCAAGGTTGCAAGTTTTGCACTGTGATCGCGATCCCACACTCCCACGTACTTCACGTGTCACGTACTTCAGTTTGTCATAGTTTATCGTTGTACATGTTTCTGGGGTCACACCGTTCTATCACGGTCTGAAAATAGCTACACAGACAGTCACGTTAACAAAAATGCCATCAAAGTCAAAGACGTCATAATTGAGGTCAAGGGTCAAATGATTATGTTCTTTCCCAGAGCTCTTTGCGATCAGATATTCAGTGATAGAGATACTGCGGATAAACATGAAGTGCGTTTGGGATCAAACAGCAGGCCCGTAGCCAGCTCTTTTGAATAGGGGGTTCGAAAACAAAAATTATATATTTGATGTAAAATGTGTGAATTTTATAATATTCAAAAAGTGTTTTTGAGCTCTGTTACAGACATTTTTGTATTATCGGTTCTAAATTCAATTGGTTTACTTTGCGTTACATTGGTAAGATATTTCACATAACATCTTTGGACTATTTTACCATTTTAGAGAAAGGGTCCTGAGCCATTCCCCACCTACAGACAAACATATCCACACCATTTATCCACTACGGCAAAATGTTGTACACAAAAAAGACAAGACTGTATTATCTTAAAATTGTTGTCTTATTATTTTAAGGTACAAGGCTACTTACGAGTTTTTTCGCTCTTCGCAGATGTTAGCGCACATAAAAGTGACACGATTTCATGTCGAAATCTGTCTACAATTATTCATTTTAGTATTAGTCAATTTTGTATTATGTAATTTTATTTCTGTACAGGGCCTCAGCCTATCGTACAAAATGTAATGGGTAGAAAAGTGCATAGCACGTTTTAAACACAATACAACATCCATTTAAACGTATGGTACTAAGTTAAGCTGAATTCATATTCATCTCGTCGCTTGAAAACTTTTAAAAGATATAGAGCTATTTGATATATGATGTGGCAGTTTGTGTAGCAACGAAGTAAGCCCAGACTGTCAGTATTTGCATTTTCTACTATGCTAAATTCGAACGTATCACTGCAAAAACTAAACAAATATTGATCTCACTGTATTTTTTTGTGTCTGCCTAATTCTACATTATGTTTATGGCCAAAACAGCGTAAACTCGTCAGTATATATTTTAGTTTATAATTGCTTGCTAATAAATCTGCCAGGTTATAATACTACTTTGATTTTTCCAAAAGTACACAGCTTGGATGATTGTGAAATTGAGGCATGCTACTATTTTTTTATTCTTTGAGTAAATATACCTAAGAAATTTGTAGTATCTCCAACTTGTTTTTCAAACCAGACGATGCCGAAACCATATTTGAACAGGAGATTTCTAAGTGGGTTTCCCAAGCAAGTCTGCCTGTCTTGTCTAATCGTGTAAGCAGGATATAACATGTTTTGGGGTTTCAGTAATTTTAACCAATATGAGATACAACGCTTGAAATAACCACAGCACAATGGCAGCCTTCCACATTCGTCTAACATCGCTACATTGTTTGCACAACTATTAATGCTAAGTACCGGGTAGATATCTGCAAAATGTTATCTGTACCCTCCCGATTTCCGAATTTACGTACCCCGGTATCGCTACCATAAGAAATAGTTGGCACAATGATTGCATCAACAAATTAAATGCACTAACCAATAGCATACTACCAAGTTTCTTACAGTATGTAAATATATTTGGTTCACTGTAAATCTGTTTTTAGAGGGCGGTAATATAATATGCATACAATGGCAGTTTAGCAGCGGTGTCAATAGACTTCAATGACTACAACTCCCTTTATGAACCCATTAAACATATGGTAAATTTCCTGAGACATCAAAAAAAAAAAAAAAAAAAAAAAACGTGTAAAAAAATATGTTTGCAATTTATGATTCATCGCATAGTTTCTGTGCTGAAGCAAAACTGTAGGGTAAATTGTTGGCTGCAAGAAGCTCTTCGACCTATACAACTCGTGATGATAAGTCTTCGGCATTTTTTTTAATGATATGTCCAACCCGTAGCTGTACACTATTGTCCAATAACAGAGGCTACACGTACTAATACAATAAGTTGACTACATTTGGCTGATACACTTGGAACAAACAGTATAAATGCCATCATTAACTTGAAGAATACAAAACTAATGAACCAAACTAGGAAAGTACAGTGTCGTGTTGTCGTGTCAATCCCGTTCGATCCCCA